AAAGAAAGAAATTGAAATCAATGCAAACCAAAGATGGTCTTTACAGCCCCACAAATGGATCTGGAAGCCATCTCATAAAGCTAATTTTACAAAGGAGCTTGAGAATTCCCAAACATGGACGTAACATCAAAAAAATACTAGTAGTACTGGGCAGGACAAATAGTATCTAAAATTATATAATGTTCCAGTGTATATACGTTATCAAAGAACACTAAAATAAAGTAGAATATACATAAAGCATAAAAAATAGAATTTTAATTACACATTAAACTTTTTATTATGGAGAGAGAATAGTAATATGATCTCCATGTCTTCATAACCTAACTTCAATAATTATAAATATTATTTTATATCTCCACCCAATTGCTTTCTAAAAGAAAAAAAGAAAAGCAAACCTCAGACATATTGCTTAATCCAAAAATATTTCATGTTAAGTATTTCATTTACGTACTTCTAAGAGAGAAGGACTTTTAAAAAACCCACACTGGTTAGAGCACAGCCTTATAACACCAAGGTCACGGGTTTGGATCCCCATACTGGTCAGCCGCCAAAACAAAAACAAAAACAAAAATGAAAAAACCCACAATGTTCTTACCCCAAAAATAAATGACAATAATTCTTTAATATCATCTAACACCCAGTTTTCCTTGATTGTCTCAAAGTACCTTTTTACATTTGATTTGTTCAATCCAGGATGCACACAAGATCTATGCATTGCACTTGGTCATTTGTCCCTCAAATCCTTAACAGCTCCCACCATACCCCTCGCTTTTCTTCCCTCCATGCCATTTATCTGCTGAAGAAACTGGGTCATTTGTCTTGCAGAATTTCCTTCCCACGTTCTGGACTGGGATGATTGCTTCCTGGTGGGATCATTTCATTTTTCCTCCTGTCTTTCATATTTCCTGCAAATGGGTAGCTAGATCTAGAATCTTTATAGATGCAGGTTAAACTGAGATAGCATATTTCATAGGAAGATACCATGTACTTTCCTATTGTATTACTGTAAGAGGCACATAACACCAGTTTCTCACTTAAGATCAATCAGTGGGTTGGGTTTAGATGAGGTGTTATCAGCTTGCTCTGCCCTTTATAAATTTCCCTATCAACCTTTTTACTACACTGTTTTAGCAACCATTGGTTAATTACTGTTTAAATCAAGGTTTCTCAACCTTGGCATTATTGACATTTGCGGCCAGATGATTTTTTGTGTGGAGAGCTGTCCTGTACGTTGTAGGATGTTTAACAGCATCTCTGGCCTTCACCCACTATATCCTGGCAGCTACCCCCCACCAGTTGACAACCAAAAATGTTTCCAGACATTTGTCTCCTGGGGCAGGGGGTGGGCAAAATCACTCCCGGCTAAAAACCACATACAAAAATGGTAATTTTCTAACTCAATCATTCCTCTTGCATTTCTTAGCTGTGATTTTCCTATAAAGAACTGTATTACTTCATCAACTATTGAATTACCCTGAATCATGACCTGTATAGGACAGGAAAAATAAATGTTTGATTCTTTTCTTTTATCAATTTTCAGAGTAAAAAGTAAGTGACTCAGCAAACTCTGGGTTGGCCAATAAAATTTTTTGAAAAATCATCATATGTGTTTGATGCATTTCAATCTATTGTAGTCATTATAATTGTCCCATTTTAGTCAATGGGAGCCCCTTCAAAATTGGCTCCTATGTCATTTTCATATGATCTTGGTATTCTTTGATTGCTTCCTTGCTCCAGGCATTTCAAGATGTTCCAGGATTGTCTTGCTTATTTCATGCTCAGTGCTGTAATTTGCCATCTCTCCTGAGTCCTAGTATTTACACACCACATTCTGGGGACTAGGGATACTAATTGCTACTGGATTGTGATTGTTTCTAGGTCTTTTCAGTGTCCCAAGTTACATAATATTTTTTCTTTTTTAAAAAAAATTCATCATGGGCCAGCCCGTGGCTCACTCGGTAGAGTGCAGTGCTGATAACACTAAGGCCATGGGTTCAGATCCCATATAGGGATGGCCGGTTAGCTCACTGGGTGAGCGTGGTG